TCGTTGTCGTCGTCGCCGCCGCGGTCGCCTTCGCGGCGGGGGCGGCGGAGAAGAAGATGAACGACTCCCCGCGCTCCGTGAAGTACGCCGCCCACGCGCCGCGCTGGCCCTCCGTGAGGAGGTCGGACTTGTTCAGCAGGAAGATGATCTCCTTCGGCCTCCCCGCGGCGCCGCGTGTGCCCCGCACGTACGCCTCGAAGTCGGCGCAACGGAAGACGAGCGGGTTGCGGGCGTCGAGTATCATCAGCACCACATCCGCCCGCTCCACGACCCGCCACAGCTGCCGCCACACCTCCAGGTTCTTCTCATACGGCGTCATGACAACTTTGTGCTCCTCCTCCATCTTTGACAGGCGCCGCCGCCACTCAAAAAACGCAGCCGTCTCCAACGCCTGTACCTCCTCCGCGGCCATGTTGTAGTCCCACTTGGGGCGGCGCGGGATGGTCAGCAGCTCGCTGAGCTTGAGCCAGTCCACGCTGTCAGTGCTCATCGGCATCACCTTGTCGTTTGTCACGACATGTGGGGTGCCGTCGACCACGACACGGAGGTCGCGTGCCGCCTCATACCCCTTTTCGCGCGCATCCGCAATGAGGAGGAACTCCTCCAAGTTGCTCGTCTCCCAAATGGACTTCAGTGGGGCGCCCTTTTGCCGGTGTTGCTGCTGGCGTTCCTCCTCCTGCAGTAGGGCTGCATCGCGCTCGGCCTCAACAAGTCCTCGGTACTTTTCGCGCTGGCTGCGCTGCGAGGCCTTCTTGGAGCGTTGCAAACTCTTCCCGAGAGACTGCATTGATTACACGCACGCACAGAACCCCTATATATATATATAAACCCCGCACCGCCAGCACCGCCGCCGCCGCAGCCTCTGCGTCTGGGAAGCTGCAGGTACGCGTGCGTTTAGCGAGAGAGACAAGACGAAAAAAACAAAACAAAACACGGCTTGCCTGCTTCTTATGTTTCGCGTGCCTTCCTTTCGAGCCGGCTAAACTTAGACGCGGTGGCGTGGCCACAACCTTGTCCACCGTCAAGCGTAGGTGGAACGAACTGACGGTAAACCCAAAGGAAAAAACAACAACAACAACAAAAGGCACATAATATAGACACGATGCACGCGCGCGCACACACACAGAGAGAGAAACAAGTGAGAAGGAAAGAAAGAGTCGTCATCGCCGCATGAGGCAACGCGAACAAACACCACGCGGGTAACAGGTAGAGCAGTAAGGCCAACCACACATGCAAGCCATCGTGTATGTGCGTGTATGTGCTTTTTTTTTTCTAATCGGTGGCACTTTTTCCTCCGCCTCCAAATCAAAAGGAACCATTCCCCTCTCCTCCTCCTCCACGCTGCGCCTCCGCAATTATTTAGTACGACCCATCGTAGACCTGCTCCTCGCCACCACCAGCATCAGGGGAGCGCTGGCGCTTGGGCATCATGTGGTAGCTGCCCGCGACAGTGGGCTCGAGCACACCCGTCGGCCGCATGCCCATCGGAGGCAAGAAGCCCTGGTCTACTTGGAAGGGCTGGAGGACACATGTGGGGGGCTGCTGCTGCTGCTGCTGCTGCTGCTGCTGCGGAGGGACGGCTCGTAGCTCGGCGTGCCCATGAGCGTAGCTGCATTGGTCCCCCTTCACGCAACGGCCCATCGCAAAACGCTGACAGAGCTTCGTCTTGAGGAAGCTATCACGCGGTGCGGCGCAATACGCGTGCGAAGACCCCTGGGGCGGCACGTAGTAGGACACGCCATCTCCCTCTACAACCTCCTCCATCGCCGCGTTCTTCATTGCAGGGCCGATCGGCTGTGGATAAAAGGCGTTCGTCCCCGGCAGCGGCGAGGCCTCGCCCCCTGCCTGCATCGCGCAGTACAGCCTCCAGCTGGTCTCGTTAAAGCCGTAGTTGAAGTAATCCTTGAGGTTTGCCGCGGGTTCGTCCCACGGGCGCTTCTGCATCTGCGCAATGTCATACCCAAAGACGGCGCTGTTGATCTGCGGTCCACTAGCATGGCGCACGCAGAGCGGGACAAGTCCCGAGACATCACCCTTCGGCTCCTCCAACGCCTGCTGCTGTTGCTGTTGCTGTTGCTGTTGCTGTTGCTGCTGC